TTTATATCCCCCCCATTTAATGGTTGAAGCAAAGACAAGTTTTATTATTTGTTCGTACAATATTTGGAACATTCTGGAGGAACCGGAAATCACGGCCTAACTCGCGGTGCATTTGGGTCTTTGTAACTTGCTGCTCCCTCCTGACACTCATAACCAAATAATGTGGAGCTCCATGATGATGCAAACCAAAACTGTATTTGTTATTTTTAATTTAGATCGCTATAGCAAAAATAAAACACCATAGTTAGATCAAAAAGAAAAAAAAACTGTATAGGTCCTCTGGACGGGTTCTTCTCTAATGAAACGTTTCGTCTCTCCTCCAAGAGACTTCTTCAGTCTGAGAGTTTCAGACAAAATTCAGGCTTTTGTGATGTGACTGATACTCACATCACATGGCTATCGTTGACACCTAATTAACACTTATTGTTACCAGAGGGTGGAGTGATAGTTATAGTTAGATCACCAAATTTATCAATAGAATTTTTATTGACTGCTTAGAAGCTACTGGAGCTAAAAATGCTGACCAAAGCTAAAAACAACTTGAAGGGTTTGCTTTGCCACATGTAAAGCTTTAAGTACTTAGATACACACGAGTGTCCTGTACTCTAAACTCTATGAGTTTGCAGACATGCAGCAAAAACTTAGATGACAAAAATTTAGAATGGCTTTGTGGTTTGAACACATGAGAGAATTAGGCCTGTTCAGATTTATCTCTGAGAAAAGCAGCTGAATTTAACTGAGTTTGCAATATTTCTTTCTTGAAAAGTTAAATTTATTTCTTTTCAAACTACAGCTCCGACCTTGGGTCTCACAGCAAGCAGTTCTCAAGTTTCCTCCTAAAGAAGTGAACAGATGAAATTGATAACTTCCCTGGACACAGCTTCAGATGACAAACAGAAAAATGTTACTTTTCTTAATGAGAATTTAAACAATGAACAAAGTGTTTCCCCTTTTTTCTCACCCCACCACTCCAGCCACCGTATAGTGCTGAACAGATACCACACAGTGCACGTATACATTATCACAACCGAAATGGGACCCCCGTAACAGAGATATTTGCTATACATGTGGAGGATGGGGACATTGGGCGAACTAATGCCCAAAAGCTAATGGAGGGTCACCTGCAGGCTGCACTGACAGCACAAACACACAATGTATATCCTTATGTATATGTTTCCTCCTTTCAAGGTCACAGGGGTCTCTGGTGCCCATTTCCAGAACAGCAGTCACTGTGGGAGGGATGGGGTACTGGTCGCAAGTCTATAACAATGAATTTTGTTTTACGTTAATGATAATTTATTAGTGTCAAACTATTTTTTTCTTTTCTTTAACTCTGTATTTATCCTATGTTCTAACAACTGCAAGTTATTAACTGAGAAAAATATGTGTGTATCATCAGCAAATAAGACACGCTTCTGTGATATCTTACATAAATCATTTATATACAAAATAAATAACTTAGGACCCATAACTGACCCCTGGGGGACACCACAACTAATGTCCAAACATGAAGCACAGTGAACATCTTCATAAACTGCTTCCTGTCACTAAGTGAGGACCTCTTCAATGTCCTCACTTTGTTTGCAGCTCTGCTGTGCTTGGGTTTAGAGGTATGATGTGAATCAAGCTCTGGTTCAGGTTAGAGTTAACTATAGACCAGTAATGGTTTATTGTAGGGAAAATGTCTGGATTAGACATAAATACAGTTACAAAAATGAATGGAAGTCAATACAATGTCCTCAGTTTGATGCAAGTACAAGGATATGTGTGTGTATGTGTGTGTGTGTGCCTTTGTTTTTGCCACTCAGTGGGGACGATTTTTCAGGAAAATGCAGCCTCTTGGGGACCGGATGCTACTTGTGGGGACCAAAGCCTGGTCCCCACATCTTCGGAGGCTGATTTTGGGTGGGGGGGTTTAGGTTCAGGACCAAGTTGAAAGGCTTGGATCAAATTGAGTTTAGGTTAGTTTTAGGGTCAGGTAAGGTATCTGTGAGGTAAATTTTTGGGTAAATGGTCAGGGTTAAGATATAAAATTACCAAAAAATGACCCCACATGCGAGAGGTGGGGGAAGAGGTGTAGGTGAATGCCTTCGCTGTGTGTGTGTGTGTGTGTGTGTGTGTGTGTGTGTGTGTGTGTGTGTGTGTGTGTG